CCAACCTCAACATCTCCTCTAGCTCCAACCTCATCTTCTCCTGTTACTCAAACATCATCTTCAACTGTTGCTCCATCTTCTCCTGTTGCTCTAACATCATCTTCTCCTGTTGCTCCAACCTCAACATCTCTTCTAGCTCCAACCTCATCTTCTCCTGTTGCTCTAACATCATCTTCTCCTGTTGCTCCAACCTCAACATCTCCTCTAGCTCCGACATTATCTTCTCCTGTTGCTCCAACATCATCATCTCCTGTGGCTCCAATCTCATCTTCTCCTGTTGCTCCAACCTCAACATCTCCTCTAGCTCCAACATCATCATGTCCTTAACATCATCGTTGCTCCAACCTCAACATCTCTTCTAGCTCCAACCTCATCTTCTCCTGTTGCTCTAACATCTAACATCCCTGTTGCTCCAACCTCAACATCTCCTCTAGCTCCGACATTGTCTTCTCCTGTTGCTCTAACATCATCATCTCCTGTAGCTCCAACATTGTCTTCTCCTGTTGCTCTAACATCATCATCTCCTGTAGCTCCAACATCATCTTCTCCTGTTGCTCCAACCTCAACATCTCCTCTAGCTCCGACATTGTCTTCTCCTGTTGCTCTAACATCATCATCTCCTGTAGCTCCAACCTCATCTTCTCCTGTTGCTCTAACATCATCTTCTCCTGTTGCTCCAACCTCAACATCTCCTCTAGCTCCGACATTGTCTTCTCCTGTTGCTCTAACATCATCATCTCCTGTAGCTCCAACCTCATCTTCTCCTGTAGCTCCAACATCATCTTTTCCTGTTGCTTCAACAACACATTCTCCTGTAGCTCCAACCTCATCTTCTCCTGTAGCTCCAACATCATCTTTTCCTGTTGCTTCAACAACACATTCTCCTGTAGCTCCAACCTCATCTTCTCCTGTAGCTCCAACATCATCTTTTCCTGTTGCTTCAACAACACATTCTCCTGTAGCTCCAACCTCATCTTCTCCTGTAGCTCCAACATCATCTTTTCCTGTTGCTTCAACAACACATTCTCCTGTAGCTCCAACCTCATCTTCTCCTGTAGCTCCAACATCATCTTTTCCTGTTGCTTCAACAACACATTCTCCTGTAGCTCCAACCTCATCTTCTCCTGTAGCTCCAACATCATCTTTTCCTGTTGCTTCAACAACACATTCTCCTGTAGCTCCAACCTCATCTTCTCCTGTAGCTCCAACATCATCTTTTCCTGTTGCTTCAACAACACATTCTCCTGTAGCTCCAACCTCATCTTCTCCTGT